AGGGTGGTTGAGGGCCATGGTCTCAGGTTCCTTCAGTCTCTTTCTGATCCCATTTCAGAGCAGCTGGGCACCATTTAGTTCTTTTGAATACCCTAATTTTTAATTAGGAACATAAAGCTGTGAAAGACATGATGAGCAATTACATCCAACATTTTGCTGCTGTTGTTTTGTCGAGTCAGTTCTGACTCACAGAGACCCTATATGGGATTTCTGAGAAACAACGAATGGTGGGTGTGAATCACCAACCTTGCAGCTCAAAATGACCTTGTAATCCAGCACATTATCCTGCAGTGCCACACCCACACTCATATCCAACATTATGGTACGTTAAAATGTATATAAACATGTCTGAGAATATTCCATGAAGAAGTCCCTAATATATTAGCCTTGTGATTTCATATTATTTTTATTCATACTTGAACACATGGCTGTCGTATGTAGATGTTATGAGCTAAATTATATCTTCCATACAGGACACACTGAAATCCTTGCATCTATCTACTACATGTGAATTGACCTTACTTGTAAATAGCATCTTTGCTGATGTAAATGACTTATGTTAACATGAGGTCACAATAGAGTAGGTCACACACTCTATTCCAACCTGACTGGTGTCCTTATAAGAGAAGGGCCATAGGTCGACACAAAGGGAAGACAGTCATGTGAATGAAGATGGAGGCAGAGATTGGAGCAATATAACTACACTCAAGAAACACCAACAATTGCCAAAAGCCACCAAAAAAATAGGGATAGGCAAGGGTCTTTCCCTAGAGTCTTTAAAGTAAGTATGGCTCAGCTGACACCTTGATTTGGGACTTCCGTATTCCAGAATTGTGAGACATACATTTCTGTTGTTTTACTCTATTCACTATGCTTTTTTATACCAGCCCTCGAAAATGAATACAATGGGCAAGCAAGCATATTAAAATAATAAAAATGCCGAAGTCCCTGTGATGGGAGCCGCCGTGTTAATAAGACACAGCTTCCAGGTAGTAGCACGGCTTTCGATTAGGGTTTCTCTTCAAACAGGGTTTGTTCATTAGTCAAATCCACCACATGACATTTATAGTTAATGATGAAGTTAAAAGAGAAAAAAAAAAAGGCTAGAAAACTATTATGATTCAACTATGTTATGCAGATTAGCTATTAAAATAGATGTTAAAGAAAACACTAAAGCAATTTTATAACTGATTAATATATACTTTTAAAGAAAATAAAAGTTTGGAATGTTTTTAAAATCTAAATTCTTCATTTTGGATTTCTTAAATAAAAAACCTATAAAAGGGAAAGAGGCAAAACATTTCTTCAAAGAGTATAGAATTGTTAGTGCTAATTATAATTTCTAAAAGTTGAGTCTAGAGGCAGAAGGAAGAGAGAGGAAGAAATAAACAGATAATAAAATAGTCCCAATCACTTAAATTGCCCTTATAACATCCCAGACACTTTACAAATATTTAATCCTCACAACCACAGCGAGGTGAGATGGGTAATTATACCCGTTTTACAAGAAGGCATGTAAGTCACAGGAGGCAAGTAACTTTCAGGAGTTGACACAGCTAGTAGCAGCTGTTGCAGCCTCATGGTGCATCTTCACCATCACCTGCCATTTTACACACATACTCTCATTTTACCCACACAACAACATTATGTGGTAGGTAATATCATTTCCAATATATTGAAGAAACCAAAGCCTAGGGATTCCTACCTTATGGGGCATCATGTATTATTAAAAGGGTGTGAGGTTGAGATTCCAATTGAGATACTTCAGACTCCAAAACCTTAAGGAAGAGGAGCTCTGATATGAAATGAATCTAAGGTGAACTAGACTGAAGAGGGATGTGGTCTCTGTGGTCCTTAAGAGCCTAGTACTGAGATAAATGATTAATCCTGCTAATAAGCAAGGACAAGAGTCTGTTCTGTTCACCACCAGACATTTCAATGCCTAATCCAGTGGCATAAGCGAGTCTACTCTGTACAGTCTCCTTTGCAACAATCATCACATTTACTAACTCATTGTTTAATACCTCTTTCCCAAAGGTTGTAAGCTCTGTTCTTTTAGTGAGGACTTGCTATGTATCAGGCAGGCACTGTTACAGGTACTTGGAATATATCAGCAAATAAAACTTTATTTTGTCTATTATTGATTTAGTTTTGCAACCCTGATGGCACCTAGAGAATATTTGACGTTCACTGGTTTTCAATAATTATTGCATGAATAAATGAAAGAACTAGGCGAGGCAGGTAGAAGCAAAAAAAAAAATAAATAAAATAAAGAGAGAATGAAATTTTGGGTTTGACCTATTAACCACCAGTTTTTATTATAATCATAATATGTTGTGATTAATAAGGATGTTATCATTAAGTGCCATTGAGTTGGTTCTGATTCATACCAATTCTATATAGGGTTTCACAGGTTGCAAATCTTTGCGGGAACAGAAAGCCTTATCTTTCTCCCACAGAGTAGCTGGTGGGCTCCAACGGCTAACTCTGTGGTTCAAGCTCTAGTGTTTATCCTACAGAGTCACCACACCTTCTTTAATAAGGATGTTATTGCTGTTAAGTGCCACCGAGTCACTTCTGACTCATAACTACCTTGTAAAGGGTCTCTGATGCTGTAAATCTTTGCAGGAACAGAAGGCCTCATACAGCTAGTGGGCTCAAACCACTGGCCTTATGGCTCACAGTCCAGTGCTTATCATACAGAGCCACCACACACCCTTAACCAGGATTGCCATTATTTAATTCATCTTTAAAACCAGAAGTGCAACCAAATATATTTTAATTGTGAACGTGAGCTCTTACCCAGATTCTGAAAGACAGCATGTATTTTCAAGACATTTTTCTTGCAAATACTTTTTTCAAGTTATGTTCTCTGGAGTTTGGCCTGCATTTGTTATTTTTCACTTTCCAAAAGGTGACTTTCCAAGGCAAGTCTTCTCTCAGTAATTAGAGGTGTTTATCTAAAGCACATTTAGTTGTAGCAATGGGGTTACAGGCTGTCATCCACATGGTTATTGACTCCCTCAATTAGAGGCAATGGCATTTCACCTCCATGCAAAATATTAGAAAATTAACAAACCCCACTATGCATTCATTTGGGAAATATGCTCTGCTTGTGATGACGTATGTGACAAGCAGGAAGTAATCACGGAGAAACTCCAGTCATACATTTAAGGCTTGCAAACATCAATTAAAACTCTGGCTCTGTACCTTGCAATTGGAGCTCAGTCTGGAAATTTCTTTTTGTCTGACACAATGCGTCAGTCAGCATTGGTGATTAGTAAGAAAAACAAACAACAACCTCAACAACAACAACAACAACAAAAAACCAGCAGAAACTTCACCCTGGTTTTTCTGATTATTTAGATAAAAAATGAACTCCAACATGGTGAACACTCTGCAGACAAGATTTACAATTCTGACATGACAAATTTGACTCAAATACCAAATCATAGTAAATATTTCCTTATAGTACTACAAACACTGCAGAGAGTTTATTATTCAAACGTTATCACTGTCTTTCTCTAGGTTAAGAATATTTAATCTAATGATGAGATTTTTACCCCAGGAATTGTAGTCATAGGAGCTCTGTGGGTGAGCTTCAGTTGTTGTTGTTAGGTGCCATCGAGTCGGTGCTGACTCATAGCGACTCTATGAACAACAGAATGAAACACTGCCCAGTCCTGGGCCAACCTCACAACTATTGCCACACTTGAGCCCATTGATGCTGCCACTTTGCTAATATATCTCACTGGGGGTCTTCCTCTTTATCTCTGATCCTCCACCCTACCAAACATGATATCCTTCTCCAGCAACTGGTCCCTTCTGACAATATGTTCTAAATATGAGAGATGAAATTTGGCCAACCTAATACTAGTGGAAATGTCTTATGTGCATTTTATTGGGATGGATATTCATCACTTTAATCAGATTCTCTAGGAGGCTTGAGATCCTACTAAAGAAGAAACCCTAGTCTGGTAAGAAAGGGTCCAAGGCAGATGGGAGGAAGATTCTGCTGAGGTTTGCTACCATTCAACTGTCATGGATGAACTGGTCTTAGTGTCCAGATGTGATTACTCCTGATGGTCATGATCCTCTTAGTCTCTGGGTTGTGAAAATGGTTAATACGCTCACTTGCTAACCAAAAGTCTGTAGGTTCAAGCCGACCCAGAAGCACTTTGGAAGAAAGGTCTGGCAATCTACTTTAGAAAAATCAGCTTGTAAACCCCATAAAGCACAGTTCTATTCTGATGCACATGGGATCATCAGGAGTTGGAATAGACTTTACAACAGCAGGTTGTTTTTTTCATTTCTTATGTTTTAAAGGTTGAATCTCTGCTGTTTGGGGATCATAAATTTAGCTAAATTCTCACCTCTAACTTCTTTTATTTGAGTAACTGTATTAACTAATGATTCTGCTATATCCTTGCTTGGCACATTCAATATAATTAACCACAAAACAACTAAACATTTATGAAACATTAATATTTTCATTGTATCAAATGAAGCAAACAGATGAACACCTTTCATTTTGAAACATTATAACTTCCTAAGAAAAAGTCAAACCCTGAAGCATATTTTTAAAATCAGAAGCTCATTTCTTTACACGGTACACTACAGTAAACAAAGCCTAATTTATCTGAATCCAATCCGACACGTCAAACTGTGTGTTTCTAAGTCCATCCACTTTATCAGGTTTTCAAAGCACATAGAAGATTTGAGAAATTGGGCACAAATTGCTTAAAGTTATCCATATCATTATTTTTTAAAACATTTTTTTTTTTAAATTTGGGGCTATGAAATTTTAGCCAAGGTAAAAAGTTACCATATTGCTCGAATGAAAGTTTCTATCATTAGGACTCAGGTAAAAATAACTTTTTCATTGTTTGTATATAAACACAATCACTTTTCTAAGGTAAACGGATTTCTATGAGAGCCTGGGCTTTCTAGAAACCTGAAAGATTGTTCTTGTCCTGGATATGTAAAAGTAGTGAACTTACTGTCATGATGAGCCCCTTTTCCTGGAAATATTTAACCAATGGAGCAGCATTCTGCTTGAAGTTCATTAGTCTCCTTTGGGTAGCTTTCAGATTGTCGTCAGGCCTCCCCTGTTGCTCTGCACGCTTCAGTAGTCTTTCTTTGAGCCTCTGATTGGCGCAAGCCAGGAACACCACGAGGTCAGGGGTACAGATCTGTGGAGAGCATCAGACAAGTAGGTAGGCATTCAATGTACAACCAAATACCAAGTGTGGGCAGTGGCATACATCTCTGGTTCTGTTGAGGCTGCCATCTGCTTGGCCTTTTATGTCTCTGCCAGCATATATCCAGTGCTGTTGTTCTATACTAGACCCTCAGGTTCCATTCTTATTACAGTCATTGAATGGTATCAACCAACTCAAATGGCCTTAAGCAGTGGTCCTACATATCTCATGAAAACATTCTTGTCTATGTTCAAATACATTTCCAGGTTGAATTAAGAACAATGTAGGCCAAACTTTGTCCATGGTATATGTAACTAGATTGTAGTGGGGAGATAACTATTGAGGCACAGATGTGGCCCTCTGTAGTACAGATATACTATTGTCATTATTACCATTTGCTATCATTTTTAAAGGAATCCCGGTATGATGCTGTAGGATAAGCACTGGACTATTAGGTCTGTTTGAACTGTAAGGTTGACAGATCAAATTCACCAGTTGCTCCTCGGAAATCCTATAAAGAGTCACTATACATCGGGATGATTTGACAGCACTTAACAATAGTTTTAAAAGTATATTTTAAAACAACCATTTTAAAAGTATATACTGTATAGAAGGTCCACTGGTAAGTTATCTGTCATATTTGCTGTTGTTAAGTGCTGCAGAGTCAATTCCAACTCACAGCAACCCTGTATAAGGTTTCCAAGGAGCTATTACTGAGTTTGAACCAATGACATTATGGTTCAAACTGACCTTGTAGTCCAGTGCTTATTCTACAGTGCCACACCAGGACTCCATTTATAGTATATGAGATTGATAAATTTTACAACAATATGTGTGGTAAATAATATCTCCATCTTACAATGAGAAAACAGAGGCACTATACAATTACATATTTGTCCAAGATCACATAGTCGATAAGGTTAAAAAAAAAGGCTGATATTTTAACTCAGTTTATGTGACCTGTATTCACTGCACTATTTCAATAAACCAAATAGTTCAAAGACCTTCATGAATCTGAGAATACCAAGAAATGTAAGAAATGGCATGAAAAAAACATATGACATAAAACGTTTTTACTAAGACAAAACTCAATCTGAGCACCTATTCACCTAAATTAAATTCCTATCTTGTCATAGTTGTTTGCTTTGTTTATTTATTTTCAAGGTCCAACATAATTTTCTTATATCTCTTAGCTAGAAGTTTTGGTATTGTTTCTAACCCTTGCTTACCAAAACTTCAACCTAGCTGAGATATATGATGTCCAAGGATTTTGTCCACTATTCATCTGTCATTTTGTCGTACTGTGGTGTCTTGTGAGTTGCTGTGATTCTGGAAGCTATGCCAATGGTATTTATATACCAGCAGGGTCACCCATGGAAGACAAGTTTCATATGAGCTTCCAGACGAAGACAGAGTACAAAGGAGGAGTAACGAACTACTTCCAAATATCTGCTCAATGAAAACCTTATGAATAGCAGAGAGACACTGTCAGATATAGTGCCAAAAAATGAGTCCCTCAGGTTGGAAGGTACTCAAAATGCAACTAGGTAAGAGCTACCTCCTCAAAGTAGAGTTGACCGTGATGACGCAAATGGAGTAAAGACCATGGGTGAAAAGTCCACGGAAACTTCATTTGCTGATGGGGTACAACTCAAAATGAAGAGAAACAGTTGTAAATATCCATTAATAATCAAAACATGAAATGTACAAAGTATGAATCTAGGAAAATTGGAAATTGTCAAAAATGCAATGCAATACATAAACATCGATATCTTAGGCATTAGTAAGCTGAAATGGACTGCTCATGGCCATTTTGAATTTGACAACCACATGGTTTACTATGCCGGGAAGGACAAATTGAAGAGGAACGGTGTTGCATTCATTGTCAAGAAGAACATATCCAGATCAGTCACGAGGTACAATGCTGTCAGTGATAGGATAATATCCATGCACCTACAGGGAAGACCAGTTAATACCAGTATTATTTAAATTTATGCTCCAACCACTAAAGCCAGGGCGGATGAAGTAGAAGAAGTCCACCAACTTCTTCAATCTGAAATTGATCAAACATGCAATTAAGATGTATTGATCATTAATGGTGATTGGTATGCAAAGGTTGGGAGTAAAGACAGAGGATCAGTTGTTGGAAAATATGGTCTTGGTGACAGAAATGATGCTGGAGATCGCATGATAGAATTCTGCAAAATCAATGATTTGTTCATTTCAAATACCTTCTTTAGACAGCAAAAGAGATGACTATACACATGGACTTATCCAGATAGAATACATAAATATCAAATTGACTACATCTGCGGAAAGAGACGATGGAAAAGCTCCATATCATCAGTCAAAACAAGGCCAGGGCAGACTGTGGAACAGTCCATCAATTACTCATATGCAAATTCAAAGTGAAGCTGAAGAAAATGAAAACAAGTCCATGAGAGCCAAAATATGACCTTGAATATATCCCATCTGAATTTAGAGATCATCTTAAGAACAGATTAGATACATTAAGCACTAAAGACCGAAGAAAAGAAGAGTTTTGTGGGATGATATCAAGAACATCATACAGGAAGAAAACAAAAAGTAATTAAGACAAGAAAGAAAGAAAAGGTCAAAATGGATGTCAGAAGAGACACTGAAAACTTGCTCTCCAGTGTAGAGATGCTAAAGCAAATGGAAGAAATAAGGAGGTACAAGAGATGAACAGAAAACTTCAAAGGTCAACTCAAGAAGATAAAGTCAGC